TGATTAAAGACATGAAGAGTAGCGGGAACCAGACAATACAAATCAGCAAGACGACAATCATGCCACCCATTCCATACTTCACAACTTTCTTTTTCTTCTGGCCTCTAGGTTGAGGGTATCTCTGTAAAAAAAAAAAAAAAAGTCACATGGTAAAACATAATGTGTACCTTTTTAATGTGGACCTATGTATAAGTAAATAAGAACCTTAGTGATTCCAAACTCTTGTAGTTCTTTACAAACTTCAGTTTTTGCTCAGTTTCATGAATATTTTTAGTGAAAGCTAAGCAGAAATCTGACTGTAACTGGATTGCTTTTGTGGCAAACAGAGGATTTAGTTTTCAATGAATCTGGGTCAGTTTAGGGCTTGGTGTATTAAAAAACACTTGCAAGACTGCTCATCATGCCGGGCTGGCAGAGTGGGTGGAAGGCAGCTGGAGCTGGAGCCTTGCGTGCCGAGGCAGGAGCTGAAGTTTCCCCCAACTTGGAGCGGTGCAGCAGGAAGAAAAGCTGCCACTGCTGGAGGCGAGGGGAACAGAACAGCTCCACCAGCCTAGGCCCTGGCCAGTTTCTGGCGGGGCTGTTCTTGGTGCAGCTGCAGCCTGCCAGGTGCAGCTCTGCTCCCCTTGCTTCCAGTGGCAGCTCCTCCTCCTGCTCCTGCCATACTGTTCCAGGTGGGCAGATCCTATTGGAGCAGCACTGGTAACAGTCCCACTGGAAGCTGTGCGTGCTGGTTGGGGCTCAGGCTGGCAGGTGTGGGTGGGAACACAGGGTAGGCTGCCCTGATAGGAGCCAGTGGGGCTTGTCCTCATGTGGACTGCCACAAGGGTAGTCACAGGCCTGATCCAGTCAGTTTGCAGGCTGTATTTTGCCCACTTCTGTTCTAGAGTCTGCAACAATATTTTTGCATCTCTGTCTTTCTCCAAATCACATCAGAAAACATATCTGGTCTCCCTTCTCTGTAATTCTTCCCTCCCTGTTAGTGGCCTCATGATTGAATACTTTAATGGATTCACCATCCTGTACAATATCTTTCCACCACTGTTATTTACTTAGTATGTTCTCTTATATGATTTAATTCTGTATGGTATTTTGGGATACAATGCGCATGAAAGAAGGACTACACAAAATAATGATAAAGACATGCATTATTCTTGCTTTACAACGTGAATCCATAAAGCCCTAAGAGAATATTACATTTGTAATGCAATGCTGCATGTAAAACAAATAAGTTACTTTTCAAAAGTATTGTATCAAACCATTTGTCTTGTGCCAGGGAATACTATTTTCATTAATATCATATCAAACTTACAAGGGGCATATCATTTATTTGTAAAAGGTTAGTTCAGACACCTTCAGGCTAAGTACAGACATTCAGGTTCATTAGGGGAAGGTTAAATCAGTTCAAAATGGCTGTCTGATATCAGCTAGATCAGACGATCCTCCAAGCCAAAAGGGAGGTAATCCCAACACGGATCAAAGGGGGCAGGA